GCGCTGGCGACCATTGTGTTCGTGGGGCACCCATTTGTCAAGCTTTTTTACTTTGCAAGTTTGACGCAAATGGACCAAACTGTTTTGATGCTAACGTCGAAAGCTGCTCCTAAATCAGTCGTAGATTATCATCAGCTTCAACAATCGCCTTTAATTCGTCATTGTCGACCAGTTATCGGACTACCACGGGGTTCATTTTCTAGGTAGAAGTTTCCAGAACAGAAACGGGCAAACCAATAACAGGTGGTGCGTTTGTTATTCGCTCGTTGATGTTGCATGCAGCTTGTGTTTCGCTGCTGCCACAACAGTACTCATATTCCATAATAACTCGAATTTTTAACGTATCCATGATAACGAAAATATTCAAAGCTTTGAAAACATAACGCTAATCAATAAACAAATGAATAATTAAAAAAAAAGAATTTCATGTTTTTAAAATAAAATTAATTTGAAATTAGAATTCTAAGCCAAATAAAAATTGTTTTGATTTGAAATGGCCAGTACTGCAGAACGACAACTTCCTAGGTAAAGACCTATTAATAAATAAAATTGGAAGTATCTGTTTGTAATATTGAAACAGCTAGCTTCTAAATAAGTCCTTATAAATAGATTATATCCAGACCTCGCAGGTCAGGTCGCTGGTAAATAATAAAATAAGAAAATGAATGATATAATAACAATGAACAAAACATTTTGCGTCTTCCTCTGTACTAATTTACTATACCCGACAGACTCCAAATTGGGATCATTAAATATTTATTAATGTGTACATTATGAAATGCAAATAAATATTAAGTATTAAGTAATGTTTACAAAATTAAATCCAAATTTAAGCATACCACTGCAAGGCGTCAATGTTGTAAGATCATTGTGCGTATATCGGGTTAAATATAACATCAGAACATCAAACATCTCAGTCTTCCCGTAAAACTACGGTTGTGCAAGGCGCTTGAAAGGTCGGAAACATTTTAAAATTGAAATTAAACGCCACACCTAAACTAAATACAAATATCACGTATCACTTGATGTGTAGAAAATACGAGAATTTAAATATGTCTTCTTTCATATAAAGCTGCGATTAGAATAAAACATTATGCTATGCTAATAATTGAGACTTTAAGAAAATGTCACGTCAGGTTTTATTAATACAAATTAAATACATTATATTTTGTTAGTATACATTCATTTGTATTAGGTATTATGTGAATAATAAAGATACAATAGATTACCCTGCATGTTATTATAATTTTTATTCTTGATCATCATCATCATCATCATTACAAACCTTCACAAGTCCACTGCTGAACATAGGCCAAGAAATGCTACAAAGCACGGTCATCCATCCACTTCCTGCATATCTAAACCAGGTTGTTACTCCATCCAATAATGTCAATTTTCAAACTGCCATGTGTTGGTTTCGTAAAAGAATCCATCACCGTTTTCCGTCTCGAGGGTGACGTAAGAGGTGACTATGGGATATCCCAAAAATGCTATGGTTTCCGATAGATGGTGGTCTAATAATCTAACCGAACCTAAAATACAAGCCAGGGGCCGCGGTGTCGTAGATTTGTACGTCTAGTGCTGCGATCTTCAATCCTCTACCAAGCGTAACAGTTAAATAAATCCTTGTTTTGTCCTTATTAAAATGTCTACCGGTAGACTTTTACGGGCTGATAAGCGAGAAAAAGAAGAAGAATCCCTAATCCCTGATCTGAGGAAAACTTGAATACAATGGACAGATAAACAGGAACAATTCATTTCATTTCATTCATTCTGTTACAAACCTGTCGTCATATACTGGATGACCTTTTTTACGGTCTGGAAAAAGTAGGCTGTAACATGTGAACGGAGTAGAAGCCTATGGCACTAGTATTTTACAAAAAATAAAAACAAAATTTACCCGCCCACACCCTCAAATTTTCAAAAAAACATCTTCAAAAAAACTTCAAAATTATTGTTTTTATTTTTTTGTAAAATACCAGTGCCATAGGCTTCTACTCCGTTCACATGTTACGCCCTATTTTTTCCAGGCGGTAAAAAAGGTCATTCTATAGTAATTGCTTTCAGTCAGTTTTGAACTTCTCTAGGTGGTAGGACTCCTTTAAATCCTCACATACACTTTTACCTATTTCCTCAGCCAAAAAGCTGTGCCTGCACTGCTGTGCTCTGGTCTGAAGCAAATAGAGACCAAGTACAGTTACAGGCTGTGAGAGATTTCGTCTTAGTCCTCAAGGGTGACAAGGCATTTGTAGCCTCACTTGTTTGAAGTTGGTTGCAGATGTTCATAGGCTACAGTAGCCATTTACCATGAGGTAGACAGTAAGTCTTTCGCCTTTCAATGTCATAAAAAATACTTACGATCCGCAACGCCAAATTTTGTCCACAATTCAATTTACAGAAAAGTATAACGATATAATTAATAGAAACAGGCTTTACTTTGCGGAAATCCATTATATAAAAGATGCTAGAACTTAAATAAGATCCGTGTAATAAAATCTCCCTCCACGATCAACGTCGTTTTATTTTATTATGCGGATCAAAGCGAATTAAATTTTAACATATTCAAAGTACAACGACGTAACTTTGAAAGAAATTTCAATACTCAATACTTTCGTGTTTACATCGCATGTAGATATCGATCGCAAATGCAAACAGCATCGATCTACAGGGTGTTACTAAATGCAACCTGCCTCGTGCAAGTCGAGGCCGGTGAAAGTGGCACGCGAATCGAACCTGCCGCCTGCTGAAACGCGATATCCGGTGTCTCCTTGCACGATCTTCGGGACATATGAAACTTCACGGTAAAGTTAACATTGAGTTGACTGCAGATCTACTTATTTATTACAGCAAAAACCGCAATGCCCTAACGGAAAACGGTAGCCGACATTGCTGATTTAGTATAAGATTCAATTTTATGTGCTGATTTATCACTTGTTCGGCAGTGAGGGACAACGTCCTGGCCTGGAAAGCCAGCATTTCAGTTTGTATTTGTCATAACACAAAAAATATTTCACGTCATTTAAATAACGTTACCACCACTTTTTCCTCTCTTGTGGAGGAATTTGATATACATAACTTGAAAAATTACAAACATCCAGACCTAAAACGATTATTTGATTACTTGTTCCGTGCGGGATTCGAACTCGAGGCCCTCAGCATCGTAACTAATTACCAAACTACTATAACCAATATCCTAACACCTTAAGTAAATATAAAAAATAATATTATTTCCTTTATAACAGCTGCATTCTGTAAAACAATATTATGCGGGTTTTTTTTAACAAGGCCGGCGTTTAAAACGAAACTATAACTGATTAAAACTACTTTTACGGATTTTATCGCGATAAAATCCGTAAAAGTAGTTTTAATCATGTATAGTGTTCGCGTAAATATAAGAAATCATTATAACTGGTCACTAAGTTCCTCTGAATATTTTATCGACTTAATATAGTACCTGTTAAAGATACGATGGACTGTTATGTAATATTATGCTAAACGCTAATAATTACGTTAATGCATGAAGTACAAAATTAAGGTTAAGCCACAAATTAAATAACGGTTATGCAAATAATTTGACTATTATAAATAGGGTGTATTCTCTCCCCTTAACGGATGGACACCAAGAATATTATCGTCATCGGCCTGTGTTACTCACTAATATTTACTTACATTTTTAATTTGACTAATTTTACATGGGTTTATAGTCTATATTAATTTAACTAAGTTATAATAACGAGTATTACTATATTTCACGCGTATATTTTTGATGTACGTTCAACGATTTCTCGACAACGGCTGAATCGATTTTAGTTATTTTTTTTCCTAATTAAATAGTTTGTATATAGGGATGGAACCTTCCCTACGTATAACTCCTTTTTGCCTAGAAGTTGGTTTGTGTGGGTTATAGTAGTTATTTCTACCGTCAAGTAGCAGCACTTCCGGTCTGTAGGGTATAGAGAGCCAGCATAATTACAGGCTGTGAGGCATTGCATCTTAGACCTCGAAGGTGACAATGCATTTTTTTATAGAAGGCAAACAAGCATACAGTGCACTAGATGATAGGTGTATGCTGTGGCACATGGACATCTACATCTATCCTCGATTAAGAATCAAAATGCAGATGCGTTGCCACCTGTGAGGACTAAGATGAAATGCCTCGTTTTCAATAAAAAGGGTCTCCGGTACTCTACACTCACCGTACAAAACACAACAGCATTGAGCTGCTATTTGACACCGCTGTGAGAGCGTGGTCCATTTCCGGTCGATTCGACCCATTCGTGCTGCAACTATAATAGCTGCAGCATAGCTTTACCACGTTAAATTAATCTGTTCTTTATTTTAAAGTGGATTGCAGTATTCACTTTCATCACGTGGACTGTAAATTGTTTGTCACTTCAGTTTTATAAAAAAATATTCACCACAAAATCTATTTACTTCATGTTACAAGGATAAACTAATATATCACCAAATATTAAATGGTGATAAGGTGACAGTAACAGTGTAACGGTGAACAGGAAAATCATACAGTAGATGGGCAGCAGCATCTTCCTGATGACAACACAAAATAATAAAAAAACTGCAATTACTAACCCGCCTGTGAAGCGTGGTGACTATGACAAATTAGGCAACCCAAGAGGGAGACCTATTTTCAGCAGTAGACTTTTCAGGCTGTAATAATAAAAGTATCAAAGTTTTATTGTGCCCAAGTGTATATGCAAGTACAGGTGCACTCTCTATTCCCTCACTGTCATATTTCGATGGGACGGTAAAGCGACACGACTGGAGAGAGACCAGGTGCAGGACCAACGTTTTTACGTGCTTTCCGAAGCACGGGGGTGAAACCGATTTACTGACTCCGAGAATTTTTGACAGAATAATCCAATAACAGATTATGAACTGACCCGGGATTCGAACTGTCGCGATCATCAGTTGCGTTTACGACCACTTGACCAACGAGGCAGTTAACAGGTAGACAGGCTGAATGAATGAAGAACACGTACCTGGAAGCAGGGACAGAGCGGCCAGCGGCGGCGCAGAGCGTGCGGCATCTTCTTCCTGGGCGGCTCGAGCTCGGCGGGGGGCTCGCCGCATGCCCAGCGCACGAGGCGCGCGCGAGCCGCCTCCGCGACCTCCACGCTGCGCGACCAAGACGGGAGGCCCTGAACAAACAAAATATACATTGAACATCACTTCACTCTACATAAAACATTTTCAATACAAAACAAGTTTTAATACCATATGAACGTGATAAAGCCACGCTGCAGTTATATTATGGTTGTAGCACGAATTTGTCAACTCGGCCGGGAAAGAACCACGCTCTCACAGAATACCAGCGTAAAATAGCAGCTTAATGCTACTTTGTTTCGTATGGTGAGTGTAGAGAGCCGAAAGACCCTTATTTATTGGAAACGAGGCATGCCATCCATAGGGAACTTTCATTAATTACGTAAGGATGATATTGGCGATTTTGACCCCCCCCCCTTCCCTTTATGTGAGTACATAAGATTTCTCCAACCTTCTCCCTCTTCTTACATAAGATTGTAGACAAGAAAAGCTAGATCAATTCAGATCATCAATCGTCGTCGGGAAAAATATATCGTAATTATTATTTATAACATTTAAAATGGATAAAAATTAACACATTTAAGATATAATTTTTATTAACAATAAAATTCGTAAAATAAGATGTAAATCGGGTTTTACCTCCTTCACCTCCAAGCTGAGGGCATGCAGAGATTTGTTTAACCAACCTCGGGATCCTTACGTAATTAATGAATGGCCCCTTAATCCTCAGAGGTGACAACGCATTTGCAATTTGATTAATATTCGACTATAAATTTAAATGTAGATGTCAATTCTCCACAAGATCCATTTACCATCGGGTGGACGGTGTGCTCGTTTGTCTCCCTTATTTTATAAAAAACCACATAATTTCGACGTCTCAGTGGCGTAGCAACGTGTTACGGCGCTAATTTCCACGGGTTCAAAATAGTAGTAGTAAAGTAACAACTGTGTGTACGGCCTACATATAATTGTTTTTTATAAACATCGTTAGTAAAACATGCATGAAGTTGATGGATGCTGGTGGCTTAGGACCGTGCTTTGTGGCATCATTTGGGGGAGGCATAAGTTTAGGTTAGGTTACGCTACACCTGGGAAGGGTTGTTATGTTGATAACATAGATATTTAATAAATTATAGAAGATGATACAAGAAGTGGTAACTGCTGATAAACTGATTAAAAATATCCTGTCCTGACTTCTTATTAAGAATAATAATTGGAAGAATAAAATATCCAATACCTACGGGACGTTTTTGTACCTATTTTAAGTCAGTGTCTGACTACAATAACACCTGCTGGTGAATAGTGATGAAGAATATGTGCACACACAGAAACACTCAAGCTTAAGAGTGTAGTCGATCTGCGCGGAAATTGAGAAATATGTATTTGAAAAAACTATTGCCGTCGCGCTGCGCCCGAGCAAATAAGGTATCAATATGTGAGTGAATAATCTGTATTTGTGTGCGTAGCTCAGTACCAACTTCAACAGTTGTCACTCCCCTAATTGTGTACGTATTAGTCTAACCCTCCTTCATCTCTGGTCTCACCCGTAGAGTGCGATAGGGACAACTGCAGCTCAGAACGATTTTACCTACAAAAACCATTACCGATCGACGTTTCGTATTCCCCTATTTTCTTCTCGAAAACTAAGCCGATTAAATTATTTTTGGTATCAAAATTAAGGAAGATTAGATCTATTCTCCTATCACTAGTATTTATCTTAAAAACTTATCAAATTTCTTTGGTAGTCGTCTCATTACGGAGGTAAAAACAAGGCATTTTTAGGTTTTTGGAAAGTCATATTTATTTTTGTAATAACTTTTTGGAAGAAATAAATGACAGAGACATGCCTTCAATAGACATAGATCTTTATAAGCAAAAACGATTACTTTAGAGGCATTATCTAGGTAGAAAATAAAGGAATACGTTTGTTTGGAAAAAAAATGCAGCCCGTCTACCCTCTTAATTATGATGATTATTACAAGGAAACAATCACAACAAAAGTTAAATTGAAAACCAATAATTTATATTTTATAGATTATCCATTAGAAAAAGTATGTGTAAATAAGTGACCCTTCAGGACACTGCTGCATTTTTGAACATCCTGTAACTATGGCGTCTTTTTTGAATGCAATAAAAATGTATTTTTGTCACCTACGTTGAAACTACATTAAACTATAGCGCTCAATAAAAATACACCATACTTATTCTTATTTCTACAATATAACTTAGACGTGCACATCTAAATAATAGGGGCAACAACCCCATACAGCCACAGTTAAAGCATGCGGAGCACGCAGTTCTGCGCGCTGGATTCTCACGTAAATTATGCAACTCTAAGTATCTCATCATCCTCTATGAAGTAACACTGTTTTCACGAAGCTGGGAGTTTTGTCACGTCGCGGATTATACTTAAAGCCATGAATATATATAAACCATTGTTCTTGTGAATATCATGTGCTAGCGAAATCGTAATTAATATTTATAAAAATAACAATAAAACAATTAAAGTTTTTTTCGACTTTCCTATTATAATATCGCAGAAAGCCAGTTCATTTCAAATATTTTATTCATTTAATCCGAAATAACATTAAGGTTTTCACGAATATATCGTTTTCGCTCTACTAACTAAACTAACAGAGCTATTTTTTTAAATACGTTAATGGTTACAAATTCAAAGCGCAGATTATATTTAGTAAGTAAATAAAACCACATACATAGACAAAGGTTAGCTTAAACATTCAAACATATATCACATACATAGGTTTCTTGTTGGTTCTTCACAGGACAGGTGTATTTACGAAACAGTGATACATTAAACAAAAGACTAACTTTCAATAAGTAATACTTATAATCTAGGTATATTGAATAAAAAAGTTAGGCAGCAATCATTCAACTTTGAAATAATTATTTATATAATCAGAAGTCGATTCGTCAGAATTCACAAGTTCAAAACTAAAAAGCTTAGTTTTTGCACTCCAATTTTCATTAAATTTACTATATATCGAGTGTGAGAAACTGGCGTGTATGTCTTCAAGCAACAAGTCACAAATATATATGCATCACGACACGTCATAAATGTTGATAATAAGCAAATTGTTGAGCGCGGGTGCTGACATCGTTTATCTTGTTAATTATTCCAATTACAGGCGGTTAATTGTTCATTGCGCGATAAGAACGCTCGGACATAATTTGCCTTACAACGTAAGTGTAAATAGCATGTAAAAAAAAGAAAAGCTCCACACTTAACTTTCTTCGTGGGCCTTTTATTTTATAAGAAGTATTTAATATAAAGAAATAAAATTACGTCTACTTTTAATAGGGAATTTGAAAGACCGTACGGTACTAGTCACATAGGTTGTAGAAATCTTTTATGCCTAAGCAGTAAGTGCATCCACCGCTATATCTAAGAGAAAAAAATACTTTTAATCTTAATAAAATATAAAAAAGAAATAACATAATATGCACAAAAATGGTTTCCTTTCCATACATATTTAAGTCTAGAATTGAAAATAGTCATAAATTCGTAAGGCTGATTTCCAACAGCATCTGTAGCACACACGTGGCACAGAATAAATAATAGTACTACGTAAACGTGGCTCTAACGCGTCTAAATATTCGTTAAAATTTAAATATATACGCGCATTAAACCTTTTAGGATATAAACGTGCAGTGGCGGCGAAAGAATATTCACTACTTTATATCGACCCGCGGATGTCGTAAGAGGCGACAGAGGGAAAACAAACCAAGAGAGGACCAGCACCGTCTTCCTAATAACAATCTAGAACATAAAAACAGCGGTTTCCAACGCCCCCTGATAAGAGTGGCAACAACGACAAATATCCTACCTCTAAGGCAATCCTTGTAGAGGCATATGATTAATAGTGGGTGGGTAATGATGATAATAAACATATCTCGATTTACATTGGGGACGCGAGTATAATGAAATAGTTTGTTGGAATCTCATTTTTGTGTTGTTTTTCGAATTAATATAGGATTACCCCAGAAGTTATAGCCCATTTAATGAAATAGAATTATCAAAATTGGCTTACAATTGACATAGATATCGCGTTAGATACCTACATATTGTCCAAACATCGGATTGAAAACCTCCTACTTTTTTGAAAAGAAATAAAAAGGGTAAGTAGTATGATAAGTAAATATGGTGAATACCAGAAGATATCATGGCTACTATTAGATAGAAGTACAATCATCTAGGTAAGTTTAGACGTAAAATATATAGACCGGTCGACACAGTTGTACTAAATTCTGATCCCTTATCCCTAAACTAGGCTTTCATCATCATAATAATAAGATTGTATGTAAACATACTCATGTGTATGCCCCATCTATTGTCTCGTTTGAAATAAAACTTTTAAACGACCGACGCACGGGTGCCACTTAGGGTTGCCAGATGGTCGGGATTCGTCTAGATTCTCCCGACGTTTTAAATGACCTCCAGACTCCCGACAATACTCAAAATCTTTAGACAAACAGCTTTTTTTCACATCACAGCTGCTTTTGATTTAATAAAGCTGAGTTATTAAATAGACTGAAATTTGAAGTAAGTTGTTTGAATTTTATATCATTTGTGAATACTACTGAAGGATCCAAATTGGTGGACTGTAAAGTCCAATGCCAAATACGTACAACCGGCAACCTAAAAATTGAGTGTACTTAAATTAGTTATGTGTCAACAATGTTAAGTCTTTTTGTACCCTATTAATTTAAAAAATAAACTTTTTATGTTACTTTTTTTTAAATAATTATTTCTCCCGACAACAATCCCCAAACCCCGACATTTTCAAATTTTGTCCAGATATTGTAGTCTTCCGATCTGGCATTCCTACTTCCTAGTGCCACTTGACATTACGAATACAAACAACAGTGCGTAATGGAATTGTGGCTGACTTTGTTTTAACGTTTGATATGTTTGTTGCATTTTGTAAATGTATGTAGAGATTATAAGCCGATGTCTTTGTATAAAAATATCTTATTTTTTGTTTAAAGTGTTATCCAAGTAAGTAAGTAGGTTAATAAACATAGCGCAGTTGCGGAGTGATTCCCACCGGCAACGATTCCTAACAGAGTTACATAA